ATTTGATTCTGACATTCAAGTCATGATTCACCTCCATCACACAGGTTAATTAAAGGGAGAGGTATTAACAGTGGCTTTAAATTGATAATCAAAATTGTATTTAGCAATATGATGGAAAGTCATCAGGCAAACACTGACACAAATTCACTTTTCAGTTCCAATCCCAGCTTAAATTGTTACTTTTGCCATCAGTAGTCCCTAAAATATACTGGGGAATGAAACTATGCTCATGCGCATATACAAATATGTAATGACAAATCCCACTATTATATATAATTATATTGTACAAATTAAAAATATATTTTTTAAATGTGCTTTTTATCTAGTCTTTCAGGTGGCCTCTGGATGATCAAGAATTACTGTGAAGTGCATGATTCATTTTTGGCATTTAAGATGATTACAAAAGACTAGTTACCAGGCTGAATTTTCCTCTTCTTAACTAAGCAAAATGATCCTTTTATAATATCGTTGACATTCTCAACCAGTCACTGCAAAATTTTGATAAATGTGTAAAATGTATTCTTGCCATTCATAATATATATAAATATTATGTTGTATGGACCATTGACCTGAGCAGCCATGCAATCCAGTGAAGAACAGGGACTACATTCTGTACAGGCAAGATGTTTCCTGGCTCTTGAGACTTATGCATTGTGAGAACAGTCAGGGCAGTAATTGTTTGACTGAAACACAGTCACTTTTCTAAGTGTGGCAACAGTGCAAATTTTACATTGTGAACCAATGTGTTAATTTAGTAGAGTGTATTGCAATTATTGTTGCCTTATTGCTGAACAGATATATATATATATATATATATATATATATATATATATATATATAGAATATATATATATATATATATATATATATATATATATATATATATATATAGAATATACACACACACACATACACTGCAATCTCACAGAGGTAGAGAAGCACAGACACAAAAGATGAAATTAAGGAAAAGGAGGAGAGAGTAGACATTTACAAGAAAATATCCAAGAGATTTACAAATGTGTAATAGCAAGGTCTGTGCTATCCATGGCATTGGTAAATACTGGCATGCAGAATCATTTTTTTTCTAGATGTGAATTTACTCTTTCAACATGAGCTAAAGCTTATGAAAGCTGTTTCCTGATGAAAAAAAAAAAATCTCTTTATGTGAATGGCTGCTGAGCCCAACAACACTTTATTCTGAAAGACTGAAATGGTGTGAATGCTTGACTCAGGAGCTAACTTTGTCATCTGAGCTCATTCTACATGTTGAGGCACCCTGTAGCTTTTGGCACCCCAACCTGGTGGGGAAGAGAGTACGGCTGGTTCACCTTGCGTCTGGGTTGTCCTGAAAGATCAGCATAAACCTAAGGTAACCTGATGGCACCCATATACTCTTGCGGGCTCCATCTTACAAGGGGAATTTCTACAACTGGTGGATCTCTGGAGCCATCATGGTTAGGAGCACATTGTGATTAGGAATATGCTTTAGAATCTCTAAGGACTGAGTTCAGATTTTAACTTTGTTCTGAGTTATTCGCTGTGAAAAATATTGAAATGAGAAGATAACATCCTCTCTCAATGACATTTTATCACTGGTAAAATGAGACTAAGGATAATAACCCATTAGGGTTGTTTTGAGGATTTTGGATAACATATGTAAAGCACATATAGATCCTGGATACAGCAAATATTTGTTGAATCTGTAAACAGAACTAAAACCTCACTGAGAATGAGAATTGTCCCTTTGGAGAAATACAGAGTAGATCTCAGGACTTGACATTAGAGTTTAATCTTTCACCAAATGGAATAGACAGGAGCTTTATTTCTGAGGTCAGACTGCTTTGGTCTGTATTCTGCCTCCACTATTTTGCTAGTTGTGTAACATTGACCTCTTGATCTCAGTTTCCTCATCTTTGAAAAAATGTAGTAATAGTGTGTTTTCTGTGGGACAGTGGTAAAGATTAAATTGAAATAATGAATGTAACATAATAAGCACTCAGTAATGTTAGTCATGCTTCTATGCCCTTCAAAGAAGGTCAGGAAAGAATGGTGCAGCACCACTTTGTACCTGAAGAAGGCCATTTGGTATAGTATTAGAATATATAATCCCAAACTTGTCTTTGGATTATACTTAAGTATGTTGTACAGATGCCTTTTATGAGCTCCAGCTTGTCATTGTTTTTAGACCTTTATTGTCCATTCTTTCAAATTTGCATTAGTAAACTAATTTATGCAAATTAAAGATCTGAAACAGAAATGTAAATTGATTCCATGATAAATCATCATCTTTTCTTTGTCTTTGGATAGAGGGTCAGAAATAATAATCGCTAGGGTGAATTACAGGTCTAAAATAACACCACAGTAGTTTAGTTAACCTTTCACACAAAGTAAAATGTCACTGGAAGGGATTACTGGTCAATCCAACCTAGAGTGGCCCTTCAGTCCCACAGTCTGCTTTATAAAAATTTTAGCAACATTGATAGTAATAAAAGTTGGAATAAGGAGTTAAAATTGCGTTGTCAAAAAAACAGTGCCAATGTTTTTAACTTGTGGAATAAAGGAATTATAGACTAAAGAAATTATAGAATAAAAGAGTAACAGAAAGCGTCTGGGTAATGGCAGTTTTAATTTTTATTTTCACTTTTGAGCAGTGCCAAATGCTAGTAGAAGGTAAAATGAGTGACACTTAGGGAAAGAAAAAAAACAAAACAAAAAACTTCCCCCTTGAATGTCTTTAAAATCTGTAATAATAATATAATAATATAAAGTGCATCTGGGCATTGCCTTCTGCTGTCGTTCTTGTCTGGCTGTCCTCCAAAACTGCCAGGCTACTCTGAGTGCTGATGATTCACATCCCAGCACCCTTTCATCTGAACATTGCAGTGTCTTTTCTTTGTACTTTGGCAGTGATGTTACCTTGATGTTCAAAAATCTTTTAAAGGCAACACAGTCTTCCCTTGCATCTTGACAAATCATTCATTGTCTATTAGCAATAAAGAAAAAGTGAACCCATGATCATTGTAAATATAAAGAAATAAATACTTGAGTATTTTAGTTTTTTTTTTTAAATGGTTGTTTTGGGATCCTCTAACTGAAAAGTGAAGATCCTGATAATCTTTCCTTCTTTCTCATGTTATCAATCAACACACATTTGCTTCTTATTAGTTTTCTGGGCTGTGACTTAAAGCAGACATGTGAGGCTGGCAAGAACCTTCTCATTGTTATCTAACTTATCTATAAGGAAACTGAGGCTCAGGATGATGTATGACTCTTCCATTCAACCAACAGCAGATCCAGTCCTTAAATCTATATCGACTCACTCAAAATGAGTGGTGCCTCCATTATTTTACAACAGTGTCTCTCGGAAGGGATTTGCAGCTTTGTGGTAAATATTTAGCATCCAGAACAAGAGTGGTGTATTTCTACTGAGGTGAACATTGGTCCCAAGCGCTCAGAGGGCCTTGTTGTGTTTAGGTCCTACATTTTAAGAGAACACATTGGGAAACTGGAGGGCCTGAGAGGGTCAACAAACTAGAAAGGAGTTTGGGAACTACACCAGAGATAACCAGAGGAATCAGGATTTTCATGTCTGGTGAAACGAGGATATAGAGAGACATAGCTGACATCTCCAAATGTTTTATGGACTACCTTGTGGAAGAGGAATTAGATTTGTTCGCTGTAATTCCAGGCAGCAGAAGTAGGATCACTAGGTAGAAATTACACAGAAGCAGATTTATGCTCAATATAAGAAGAGACTTTCTAACATTTAGAGAGGTCCAAAAATGGAATACAGAAGCTCACCATCACTGGAAAGTGTTCATGCTGAGACTGTCCGACTTGAAGATTATATGGCTTTATGAGTGTCATATTTCAGCAGTAACAGCGTTTTATGATGAACCTTTCCAAGGGCTCAGGGAAGAATTTCCTCACTTGCTAAAAACAAAGGAGTCTAATAGGCTTTTTCACCACAATTTCAGACTGAGAAAGTTGTATCCATCACAATTCCTGTTTTATACGTCACTGGGTCCTGTAAAATATTTTTAACTTATAGGGAAAGATATTAAATAGGCAAATATTTGTAAGAATTAAAGCAAAAAATGTGGTATTTTCAACGCTTATGGTGTGTGTATGTATGTGTGCACATGCATTTTGAGTATTTTAGGATGAATTTGCCATGGTTTTGTTATTGTCACCTGGCTTGTGACTTTCACAGCTTACTAGTCCAACCCTAGAATGTGACTTATAAAATCAAAAGAAACAGGGGAAAAGTCATTTATGTAGATGGTTTCAACTTTCTTAATAATGGAAAAGAACATGAGTGATGAGATAAAATGAGTTGGTGACCTAAGCAGAACTAAGAATACTGAACTGGGATCCAAAGTTTTAATTCTGTAGGTCTAGCTCAAATATTCTCTGCTTCATGTTTATGCCTTAGGTTTTTATTTTCCTCTAAAATGAAGATATTGCTTCAGGAATTTTTTAACTTTTACATTTTATGATTCTAATTCTAGCAGTTTAATAGCTCTAATTCTCTACATTTGCATAGGAAATTGAAAATGACCTCATTTATAATTGAAACAATTCAGTAATTTATTGTTCTGTAATTTGCTTATTTATATATTCAGAAATGTTTATTGTGAAACTATCTTAAACGTATGAAAACTTTTCTTCAATGTGTATGATTTTAAGGATAAATGAAAAACAAATCAAAATTCATTTTTGAAAGAATGATGTTTAATGTAATAATTAGAATAAAAGTAAGCACTTCTTTTTTAGGGTATTTTGAAAGAAACAGTGGAATTCATCTGTAAATGGCTTATTGTTGCTTGGATTTAGAACTGCAATATTTCAAACCATTTCCAAAATCATAATAGTGTTCATTAAGAGCTTATTAGACTAAATCCTTTAGCTCTAGAATTATTAAAGAGTGCAACCACTAATTTACACCAGAAACCCCTTCCACCATGAATTATTTCTTCATTTTCTTCTTCTTCCAACAGATTCCAGAGGGGTGATTACCACATTGACGTCTGTATCAATGACTACCTGGATGTTTTCTGCCCTCACTATGAGGACTCAGTCCCAGAAGATAAGACTGAGCGCTATGTCCTCTACATGGTCAACTTTGATGGGTACAGTGCCTGTGACCACACTTCCAAAGGCTTCAAGAGATGGGAATGTAACCGGCCTCACTCTCCAAATGGACCACTGAAGTTCTCTGAAAAATTCCAGCTCTTCACTCCCTTTTCTCTAGGATTTGAATTCAGGCCAGGCCGAGAATATTTCTACATCTGTGAGTATATAGAGATTTATCATGTTGTAGGGCGGCTGCAAGAATCCAGACTAATTTTTTACCCATGTTGCAGAGAATTGCAGAGCTGGACTCTGCATTACAGATGTCTCCTTGTAAATGCATACATCATGATCCCTAGATACGTTAGCAGGGAATTGAGAGCACAAATTAGATTAAAGACACAGCGCCTCTTCCCCTATGAAATTGCGTGTCAGCCTATTCAGTGAACCTCTGCTGACTTGTATTTCTTTTAAATGAAAATGGCCAGGACTTCTCCAAAGCTCAGGAAAAGAAAAGAGATTCCTGAAAAAAATTTAAGGGAAATAATTAAATTTACATAGCTTGGAGTCATTGCATTTCTTATTCAGGTGTCAGCAATATCCTTTCAATCATCCACAGTTTTCATGGAGAAAGCCAAAACTCCTGCAAATGTCAGCATGCTGACGATAAATACTCTGTTTGCACCAAGAAGAAAAGACAATTATTAAGAGCAGCTGTGTCTTTAAACAGGAAAAAGTGTGAAGAAGTATCAAGCAAGGGTTCCCAGGGAACTGGTATGAGTGAGTTTCTCACCTGTGAACATTAAGTGACTGTCCTGAGAGAGCTCTACCACTTCCTCAGCAGACTTCTGCATTAATCTCAATGCCATGGCCTTGTTTCTTCTCCATTATTTACACATCACTTCTTCATGCAACAGACTATTATATATTATTGATAAATGTTTCTCAAACTTCACTGTGTACAGAATCATCTGGGGCTCTTGTAGCAATGCATATTCTGACTTGGGTCTGAGGCAGAGCCTGAGATTTCATAGGTATAAAGCTCCCAGGTGGTGCTGATGCTGCTGGCCTATGGACCACACATTGAACAGCAAAAGTGTAGGTAATACACATTTAGGTAGCTGGCTGTGTACCTGGACTTACCTTTGGCCGATATCAAATATTTAGACTAGCCATTTCCATGTAATTTCAGTGTTAACTGAAATAGATAAAGGAGTATTTGTTCATAAGTAGATTAATTGAACAGCTTATGGTGGCTCAGAAATGCTGGGGGTGCAAGATCAAGAGACATTGTCTCCTTTTAGGGTGTAACCTTCTAGTGGGGAATAGACATGTAAATAGAGTATAAATAGACAATTACTACATGAAGATAAATGCAGGAAGCAGCGAGAACTTGGGGGAAGTTGTGCCTCACTTGCTTGGAAGGATCAGAAAGTACAGCTGCACCCAGTGTACAGAGATGCCAGTAATACCACTCAGTATGCTTAGCCTCAGCTTTTCACCCCACACAAACAAGATAAAGAACATTCCTGCTTTTCTGAGTCATTTCTCAGTTCAAACATCCCCACCCTGGTAGTTTTACATCTACTGAAATTTCTCGCTCCTCTTCTCCTGAATTTTACAATCAGTCAGATTTCATCATCATATGGGTTCTCTCACTTATAATGCAAGTGAATTTGAAAAGGAAATTGAACAGTACCAGTTTTATTATTTCAGTACATTTTTCAGTTGTTAGTCATGAGAAAACATGTAAAAGCCTCGATACTATCTCACATTCGATCCATAAAATAAGAATAAGAATATTGACTTCCACAGATGCAGGAAATACTGGCATACGGTGAATTCACACGTTCTCAGGCACAGCCTGCTCTTGACTCTTGCTGATTTCTTACTTTGTAAAAGAATCTCATTCAGCAAACAAGAAAAAGAGAAGAGGAGGTCTTCAATTATGGGATAGCATCTCATTAATTACCTAACTGCAAAATACTATACTAATGGAAGAAGAAATTATTGCCAGTTTTGAAATTTTCTTATTGGCTTCTTAGATTAAAAGACAACAACAAAAGCATAAACCAAAAGTGAATAGAGAGCACCAAGATGGAAACATACCCACCAGCTAACTGGTTGATTGCATGATTATTAAAAATTATAGAATCCATTGAGGTTCATAAGCAAGATGTTATTATTCAAATATACCCATAGTGCTTATGACTGGTTTTTCCTCATTTGTGGTTAAATTCAATATTTCACTGAAAATCATTATGTGTCTTCTATAACATTCATTTAACAGAGTCATTTAACTGTCAAGGGTTCCTGTCAAAGTAATTGTTCCAAAATGCTTCAAAATATCAAGAGCTTTTTGCTGTTCAGCTGAGTTTAACTTGAATTACTTTTTTAATGAAAGGTAAAATAGCACAAAATTAGCAGCAAAACGACGTTCATTTACAAGAAGCATAGTAGCCTGGTGCATTCAATTAAATTGAATTTCCAACCATGTTTTTGACCCACAAAAGCATCCTTCCCTGTCTTTTCAGTAATAAAAGGGTTTCCTCCCTTTCACCACCAACAGCAGTAGGGGCAGAGCTAACATGGGCGTCTTCCAGACATTTAATGTACTGTGGTCATAATTAAACTAAAGGATTCTTAGGGGAGAATTGACCCTCGGCTGAATTTTCCTCTGTGGAATGAACAAGATGGTTGGGAAATGGCCTTTCTCACACCACCATAGAAGAGGCTTCATGGTCCATCTCAGGAGCAAGCTTAGCCTCCACCCATCAGTTCATAAAATGGTTCTTACCGAGACAGGAGTATGTTTCAACTCCTCATGGCCTAAGCATCTCTTCCAAATTCTCCAAGACAAAAGAAAGAGGGAAAGAGACCCCATACCCTATTATCTGACCTGCATTAGAGGCTAGAGGGAGGCTTACCTTGTTGTGAGGTAGAGTATCAGAACACAGATACAGACCCAGGTTTGCGGAGGGCAAGGTGAGTATTTCATTGGAATTACCTAAACCTAGAAAGGACACAAATCAGAGAATTCTTATTATGTTATTCTATATCTTCAGCAGAATTATTTCCTAATTTATTTGTGTTTTCTAAAATTAACAATTTATTAGTAAAAACATCTTATAGGAAGTTGCCAACTTACCTTTAAAATGAAACACCCTTCACAGTCTATATCCTTTCTGCAACCCCAAATATATCTACACTGTTTTCCTTCCCTTTAGAACAGACAGCACATTGAATAGTTATAACCACTCATAATTACAAAGCAGACTAAGGTCATTCCTGAATCTGACAAATACTGTTTTTCATTGGCAGGAGTAACTTGGGTAAGAGGTTTGCATACTAAAGTTTTTACAAAAAGTTGGTGGCTTTCTATCAGTGATAAATTGGTAGAACTACCTGTCAACTGACTAAGGTAATAGACTTCCTAAAGAAGAGTAATTTTAGAGTCTTCAAAAATACTCATTTTAGGAATTTCAAAAGTACTGATTTTAGAAATACTTCACATAAATATTAACCCAATATGGGTATGTTTGGAAGAATATTTTCTGCTCTTATTTTTAAATCAGAAAGGATTAAGAGAAATGTTTTAAACACAGGCAATGTAAGTTATCTTTTTAAGTGCATAGAAATACTGATTTTGAATGTACCCTCTTGTTAAGAAAACTGAGTCTCTTTCTTCCTCTAAGTTGCTGGACAATCTTGGGTAAAATCAGTTAATCTCTCTGGAGCTCTAATTCTGCATCTTAAAAGCATTTGGTTACAATTGATGATTTCAGAAATTTCTTGGCTCTTTAATATCATAATCTCATAACATTTTTTCTAGAGGCTTGTAGCTTTGGAGTAAGAGATAACATGTGTGAAGTGGCCCACTCCAGTGCCTTACTTAGTTGGTGTCAATGAATACCAATTAAAGGGAAATTCAAATGCACACTGGAGAGGTATATTCGAATGGTTGAACTAGTTGTTTCCATGCCACCTGTCCAGTCCCCCATCACCTGTAGTCTCTACTAATCTAGCAAACTCCTATGTGTTTCCTTCTGCTTGTGCTACTGCTCTGTCAAAGCTTTCCAGCAACTTCCCATCTCACCAAAATAAAAGTACAGTCTCTCACCTGGCCAGCAGGATCTTCCATGTCTGTGCTCCTTTCTCTCCCCACCATCAGCCTCTTTGATTTTCTCTTCCACCACTCACTGCCTTATTCTCTCTGATCCATCCATCCTGCCCTCTTTCCTGCTTCACATTCCTGACCAGCGTCAGCATCTTGGTGCTTTATTGTCCCTTTGGCTGAGGTTCTCATTTCTCCAGGCATTTACCCCCCCCCCCACCTTCCTCTCATGTTCTTTAGAGTTGTGTTAAAAGTATCTTCATTAAAGGTTGTCCTGACTTCCTTGTATGAAATTAACACCTCCTTTATTATTCTGTATACTCTTCTCCTCTGTTTTCCCTGAGGTGCTCATCAGCCCGACATTGTGGAATAATGGTCGGTTGTTCATAGCTGTTGTCACTCCATACTGGGTATGATATTGCTTGGTATGTAGTAGATTCTTAGTAAACACGAGTAACTACTGTACCTTTCTAAACACTACAGCACTCCGTGACTCTCAAACCAGAACTACGAGATAGTGTTCTTTTTATGGGTGAAGAAACTGAGGCACAAGGATAGATAACTTGAAAAAGTTTCACACAGATAATAAATGGCTGATCTGAGAGGAAATTAGGTGACTAAGTAACTAAAATAAGTGAAAAGATGAAGTGCTAGGTCTTATACTTCAAAAGGAAAACTATGTTTTATATTTTTAAAAAAGATCAGAAACAAAGAGTACTCACTTTGACATCACTGTTTAGAGAATGCTACTTTATAAACTCTCCCTATAAATCCCAAATCAGATAATACATAAATTTTAAACAAATTTATGCATTTTCAGCTCTCCAAAGGATACTTTCCATCTCCAGGATATATTTCAACTGTATCTTCTTAGATAACTTCAGAAGCCTGAAAAGTTTTATTTTCTAAGAAATTCTTTTTAAGTTTGCTAAATATGTAGTATCCATACTGAATTGTGATTGAACAATTGATTCAGGAATTTTAGCATGAATTGAATCAGGAGTTTTAATGAGAGACCCACCAAAAAAGACAAATGTTATTTAATGAAAAGGCAGAGAATTCTAGCATTTGCTACATCTAATATGTCTGGGAACACTCTATATTTC